TTTGCAATTACATCAAATAACATCATTTAAGGGAGGTCGCATAAATATGCCTGTGCTATTGAATCCTCTCAAAGGCAAAACTTTTCCTGTGAGTCACCATTTCTTTGCGTCTTGCAGCTCCTGAACCAATCCCTTCCCTTCTTCTAGTGCTGTTTTTCCACTGAAGTTAAACTCATTATGACTTCCTCTAGATGAGCCTTTTGTGGTCTATCTTTTCTCTCAGGTTTCTCCCTGGATTTTTTCTGCCTGCTGCTTTGCAAGTGCCTCTTTTGTGCCTCTAGCTGGACATATCTCCTTGCTCCAACCCCTGCTCCTCACAAAAGAGTGACATGCTTCCCCCGCTGCCTCAGCAACACAGCCAGCTCCCACAGGCCAGGCAGCTGTGGCCAAGGTCAGCCCTCTGCACCCACACGAGTGCTTACGTGTACTTAAGGTACTCACATGCTAATACATCTAGAAATAAGTTGTAAAATATTAGTAGGTATCATTGAGGCTTGAGAGATCTGCCAGATGCAAGATTCAACAACACAGAACCAGTTGTGAGAGACAAGTGAAGTCTAGCAGCAGGATCAGAGAAGTATCTGTGTTATATGGCAGCTGCCAGAAGCGATTCCTGTACCTCTGCAAGACTGCCAGGAAAATATCAGACCTTGTGTAGGTAGAAACACCACAGATCACCTAAATGAAGGACAAATTAACTATTTCAGCTTTAACACACCTTTTTTATGAAACAAACTCAGAACACTAATCACAGCCTGATTACTCTTCCTTGTTGCAATTAAACCTTAAACACATAAATCCTTTAGCAACTCAGTTTTTCCCCTTGCTTTGGCTGGAACTTTTCCTCCCCATTTATTGATCCATCTTTTTCCAACCTTTCTGATTTCCTCCCACTGAAGATGCACCATGAGAGCTAAGGTCCAACATGAGTTCACAGAAGGAAGACGTGGAAAAAGATCACTAGAGTCATTAGGCATTCAGGACTTATCATTTAAGATGGGAAGGCAAATCACAAGATTTTAATAGATTGTTTATATCCTAAAAATCTGCTTTCTTTTAAAGCTAAAGGGCAGATAAATACAAATATAAATACAAATCTCTCAGGTCTAATTCCACATGCAGGATAAGCTAGTAACCCAAAATTGTTCTTCTAAACCTAAGAATATCTAAAATGGAAAGAGCTCTTGAAAGAAGCCCTAGATCCTTGACTTAATCACCAGTCTAGCATGAACACCTGGAGGCCAGAGAACACCTCCATGTGTTCTAAGTCATCTGTAATCCCTTTCCCAAGAGGCCCTACTGACCAGGGCTCTCCCTTCCACTCCAAATGCAATCTCACAGGCCACAATCAACACCACAGACCCTGCAGGAATAGCTTCTAGACCAAAAGCCTAGAAAAAACAGTAAGTAAAATAAAAAAACACGAGCAAAGCCCAACAAGCTACACAACAGCATCCTGCTTTCAAAGGCAGGGTATTAGGAAGAGGAACAGAGACTTAATCCTGCAACTGGGTTTTATTTTCCTGTCTCTTCTTTATCTTTTCTCATATTTTAATATAGCAGCACTGTATTTCTGCACAGACACATGCTGCAGAAGCTCTGCAGGCCCTGGGCCTCTCAGCACCATGCTCCTGGACAAGTCAAACTTATTACCTCCTGGTGAACACCCCTTTCTCAGCCTGCTTTAAAAACCCTCTTGCAGTTTCTTCAGTGGTACACAGAATCCCAGAATCACAGACTGGTTTGGGTTGGAAGGGACCTTAACCACCATCCAATTCCACCCCGTGTCATGGAAGGAAACCTTCCACTAGGCCAGGCTGCTCCAAGTCCTGTCCAACCTGGCCTTAAACATTTCCAGGGATGGTGAAGCCACCCCTACTCTGTATATCTTTGTCAAGACTGTAACAGCATTTCCCTAAAGGTTCAAAATACCCATGGGAACACTTACCAGTCTCATTATTTCACTCTGAGGTTTATTTTATAAGCTCTGCACAATACAGGCCTGAGGATTTCCTTCTGTAGAATTCTTGAATACAAAATAAAACCATTGTTGAGTGACTTTTGTTCAAAGAGAAACATTTTCACATATATATGATACTCTACAGAAACCCACCACTGAAATTAACAAAACCCTCCCAGTTATGGTAAGTGAACCATTCATTCATAAGGGAAGGCTTAGATTGGATATTGGGGAGAAGCACAGGCTACCCATCAGTCACCATCCCTGGAGTGCTGGAGATGTGTGGATGTGGGAATGGGTCAGTGGTGAACACAGCAGTGCTGGGTGAAGGGTTGGAATTGATGATGTTGGAGGTCTTTTCCATCCTAAATGATCCTGTGATTCTAACCACACACCTGCATTCAGAATGTTTGAACATTCTGAACTGGTCCCAGTGCCACTGCTGACTACTCTGACCATCAGACTGGAGTAGTGATTGAAGGAATTACCCAAATTTTCACAGCAGCACAATCCTAAGTGCATTTGTACCAGCTTAACAAGCTTCTATATACAAAGAGAACAGTATGCTTTGGAACAGGCAGTAACACCTGAAATACTGTAACCAGTGAAACATCCCAATTTTCTTCAAAAAGGTGCAAACTGCACAGTTTGCCTTGTCTGGGATGGCTCCCACTCAGATAACAGCTATGGAAAGCCCAAGGTTACAAAGCTCTCTTCTAACAGACCATACTATCTTCAGAGGCAGCTTAATGTTAAATGGAAAAAGACCAGCTACTTGACTAAGAATAACCACCCTTAACCTACCAAAATCAAGTTACTATTGTTACCATTACGCTCTGCAACAACCAACAACAACATTATGATCCAATTCTAGTTCAAGGGGAAACCTCCCTCATCATCCCAGTCTAGGTAAGTGAGACTAATGAAAAAGTAGGGACCATAATGACCTTCAAAATCATAAGAAGATATGTCAATTTTTTTACCCTATCAGGCAAAACTAGGGGAGAGATGAAAAAGAAGCCAACAGAAAAAATTAGTTTAACTCACAACAAACGAGGAGACAGGAGTGTGTATCACACTATCAGCTGTATCACCAGAATGAGCTACATATAACAAACCTGGAGCAATCTTTAACTGTTTCTTATAGAAGCTACTTGGAAAACTGTCCTTTGAGAATGATCTGGACTTACTTTGCAGCAGTGGCAAAGCTCAGGCTGGCTGGTGACACTGCCTCTGCCACCCTGCAGTCACATACCACCAGTTACTGTTTCATATCTAGTGAGAACTCTTCCTGTGCCTGTCATTCTGATCCCTGTAAAACTATAATGTGGATCTTTATGTAAAAAGTTGTGTGTTTTTGTCGTAGATGGCTCTGCCTGTGATTTGGGCCATGCTTTATGAAAATCCATGTACAAATAGGAAGACTAGTTTTTTTTAACATCTTGAATCTAAACAGACAAAGGGTTAGAGAGACAGAGCTTTAGCAGATACACAGCCACACATCAGATTATTGCTTCCTTTCCTGCTTTGCCTCCGATATATGTTCCTTTACCACGGAGAGAGATGCCCAACCCACCTATGAAACAATACATGAAACACCACTTCCAAGTCAGGTTTGGGAAAAAAAAAAAAAAAAAAAACCAACACAAATCTTCTATCTGTTGTCTTCTAACTGAAGACAGTTGTCAGAATAGAACCAGCAGGAAAAATGGAGACTAAATTACCAGGCAGATTCTTCACTGACCTTACTGAACAGAAAAGATGTGATAAAGCAATGCAGCACATATGAGTGTGCAGATTTTTCTCTGCCATTACACAACAAGGTAAGACAAGAAATTACTCTTTCAAATACCTTGAATGTCAGTAATCTTAACATCACAGGCACAGAACTGAGAATGTTTCAAATTCTAAACTTGGTGAATTCAAAGCCCTTGCCTCATCTTACAAGTTAACTGATCTCTGTATTACCAACATTCACAGCACAATCTCCTCTCTTGCTTTTTGTGGAATTTCTTCAGTGGAAGAAATTATTCTTGCCAGTCATGAAACCTCCCCTACTGTTTGGGGAAAGCCATCATGAGAAATGCTACTTATGTGCCATTTCAGCTATAGCTCAAGAACCATCAGTACCCCGTGCTTAACCCTCTTCAGGGCTGCTGGATTGCTGGATCATCCTGGTCTATAAATAACCCGAAATAAAACCACACTGCAGGCACAGAGAGCAGGTCAGCAGAGGCTGAATTTCCCCTGGTATCATGCTCAGAGGCGGCTGACGCTACCTGCAGTGTCACAGGTGAGGCCAGAACCCTCCCCCAGCACGGCCCAGGGCAGCCTCAGCCTTCGGGACCAGCGGGAATGGAGACTGCTGCACTTGGAGAGCCCGCAGCAGTCCGGGCCCGGGGACACAGGGCAGGACCCTCCAGCAGCCGAAGGCGGGGGGAGAGCGACCGCTTCCTCAGCCGCATCCCCTCAGCGGCGGCGCGGCCCAGCCCCGGCCGATGCGCCGCAGGGGAAGGAAGCGGGACATGACTCATGGCTTTTGTCTGCTCCCGGCTGGCCCCGCAGCGCTCCCCGCCGCCAAGGCGGCGCGGCCGGCGCGGCGGGACCTCGGCCGGCAGAGCGGGGCCCCGGGGCGGCCCCGCGCCCCGGCTCGGTGCGGGGTGCGCCGGCGGCACGTGGCCCGCGCTGCGCCAATGGCAGCGGCCGCGACCATAGAGCGGGGCCGGGCGCTCGCTGCACATCCCGCCCGCCGCCCTTCTCGCCGCTGCCGCCATCTTGCTGCAGGCGACGGAAGGCGCCGGGTCGCGGCGTCCAGCCCGCGCCTTCCCCCCGCTCACCTGAGGCGCTCCCGCCCCCGCCCTCCCGCGCCGGGCCCGGCATTACCTCTAGTCGGCCCGCAGCGAAGCCTATGCTGGGTACGAGGCCGACGGCCCGGCCGCCATCTTGGTACAGCAGAGGGGATGTGCGTGACCTACAACATGCGGGCGGCCCCGCCCCGTCCCAGCGGGTTGCTATGGGGATGGGGCGGGCGCGTGCGCGCGGGGCCCTGCTCCACCCGGGGGCGGAGACTGGGGCGGGGCGGCCCCGCCCCCTCCCCCGGCTGTGCGCGCGCGGGAGCGGAGCTCGGGGCCGGCGGCTGAGGGAGGCGCGAGCATCGCTGCGCTGAGGTGAGGGGCCCGCCCCGCCCGGCCCCGCGAGCGCGGGGTCCCTGTGCGCGGCGGCGGAGGGACCGGGCGTGAGGGGAGCCGGAGGGCAGGAGCGCTGGGAAGGGCTCTGTCCTTTTTCGCCACGGGTTTCGGACCCCCGAACCTGAGGGGTTTGGTTGCGGTAGGGTGATGATGGTGAGGAGGGAGCGGGACGATGAGCGCTGCGGGCGCTGCCGGGGAGCTGAGGCGCCCTGGCCCCCTCCCAGCGCGGGACCTGGTGCTGCATGGGCCGCCATGGGACCCCCGGGCGGGGGCCCCTCCCACAGCGTGCGGGGCAGTCCCTTCTCAGCATGCTCTCCTAGAAAACTCCGGCCGCGCTGTTGAGACCGGAGGGTGAGGGACGTGACCGACCGGCTCCCGAGGAAAGTCTGGGCTGCTTCGAGGCACCCGAACCCTGAGCCCCGAACCCCGACCTCAGCCCTAAGCCCCCCGTGCGATGCCCTGGGCTCGGGTTTGCGGTCGGACGGGGCCTTGGCCTTCGGGTTCGGGTGTGCCTGTGTGGGAGCGCTCAGACCTGACCGGAACGCTGTGGGAAAGATCATTCGTGGAAGGTTTTTGTGCTTGATTGTTAAAATATATTGTAGCTGTAGTCGTCTGCATAACTCTGTCCCTGCTTCGTTTCCCTGTGAGAAACTTTCCTCTGCTCTTAGCCCGCCTCTGAGAAGTAGTTGGGTGACAGACAAGTCTCACAAATTAAAAGAATGTTCCTCTGTGTTCCGGCAGGATCTAGTTTTGTTTGGCATTGAAAACCTCTCATGGAGAATGCTTGAGCAGGAATCAATGACATCACTGGGCAGGAAACACTCTTGGAAGGAAGAGTTGCTATCAGAGCAATCTTACATGATCAAAGGCTCACGGATAAGTTCTTCACAAGCTGAATACATCATAGGTCACAGACTGTTTTATGGACTGAAATACAGATGTTGCAGATACTAGATTTTTTTTATCTTGCAATTTCACTTTAGAGCCATGTTATCCAGTTTTTATTTCGTGTCAGTAACCAGGGCGCCAGATTTTTCTCAGCAATTTCGGATTCGTGAGAAAGGACACCAGATTGCTTCAGTGTTTGACATCTTCAGTCTGTAACTCCCATCTAACTCAAATGAGGTTAAAATCGTGTAAACATACACCTATATGGTGTCTTTGAGAAGAAAATTCTGGAAATCATCCCCACATTGAAACAACTTTGCCTTGTGCCTGACACAAAAAGTTGGGCTTCTGCTGTCTAGCGCTGGGCAGTTTGTTTTGATTCCAAGATGTCTCTTTGCTGGGAGGAACAGACTGAAGGGAGCTGCAAACTGGAGCAGTTTGGTGTAACTTCACACGAAGCTGAACTTGCTGACAAAATCTGCTTGGAAGATGTAAAGAATCAGGTAGTGATAATTCAAATCCATGGAAACAAAGTGCAAGTGAGCTAGGTAAGAGGTGGCTGAGGGCTTTGGGAGTGGGAACAGATACCTTGTGGTAAGAGGGTGAGCCAGGGGAGGGACTGGAAAGGGGAATTGAGTTTTTTATCACTTGCAGAGACAGCATATCCTGACATTTTTATGTTGCCACAGTAAATCACACGATCTCCTGAAATCATGCAAGTTAGTGGTTGGTGTGTCTTTGTTAAGAGACTTTTTTGCAGCATTAGATAAGAAATCTTTAAAAAATTTTTTGTACCTGTCTGTTTTATATTTCACATGCAGCTACAAAATTTCATATTGGTAAACAGAACATAGAATGGCTGAGTTTGCAAGCATCTAGAGAAAAGAGGAAGAGAAAAAAGTTTCATTTTGAAGCTGTGAGCTCTTTACAAAACACTCAAACATGGATGGAAAGCAAGCAGGGAAATGCTCAAGCACTCAAGCCTGGAAATGTTGAGAAGAGAGAGGCTTGAAAAGAAAAATAATACATGAGTTAGGTGGTTTTTTTGGCTTTGAAGAAACTGTTTCCTGTAAAGAGCAAGGTGTCTTTTAGCAAGGTGTTTGGTTATTTCCAGAAAGGATGTGGACTTTGAAGGCTTCAGAATGGTTTGTCACACATCTGGTGCCTTCAACCCACATTCATGTTGCTTGAATTTCTTGTCTGACTGCGTTTATAGGAGCAATGGTAGCTGAAAATTCTGCCCCTTGTTAGTACAGAAGAGTCAAATACTTGTGCTCTGTGGAGAAGCTGACACTGTTTCAGAGTCTGGCCATCCGGTCAGGGATGCTCCTTTTCCAATTTAGTGTGTAACAGCAGCTATTGCACTGGTTTGTGGGTGAGTTTTTTCCTCATACAATTTTTAATAAGCTGATAAAATTATTATTTTTTCAGATTTTTTCCTGTCCTTCCCTAAAAATGTCCAAGGTAAGAATAATATTTCTGTCTTCCAGTGTAACAATGGGAAATACATTTTTTGGTTTTAAATATTAATCTTCAATGACAAATTATGCAACTTTCATCTGTTTGATGGTAAAGGGTATTTGAAATTTACTCTCTATGGGAGACACAGTATTGAAAGATGAGGGATGTAAGACATAGATTAAAGTAGTTTCATGCAAGTATAAATCTCTGCAGTTAACTAATACTCTTGGAAGGATGTAATTTTGGTCAGAGTTGTATAAAAGCTCCCTGGTGCATCTTCATTGAAACTTCCTTTCTGCAATTTTGTTTTGAGCAGGCATCATTTAAAAAAAATGGTGGTTTAGATTTAATTTCTTTCTTTACTAATAGAATCAACTGGTTTTCCAATAAAGTTCTTCATTTAAAATATTGTATCCTAAAATATTATTGTCATGCTGGGATTCATCTAATTCTTGGCCCCCAGCATTTGATATGATGCGTAAAACATCCATGTTGGTTTACTGGAGAGAAATGAGTGATAAAGGGTGCTTGAGTAATGTGTTTGAAGAGGGAACTAAGAGATGTAAGGATTTCTCTGCCAGAACTGTAGCAGTGAGCATTCTAAACACTGTTGTCTAAATTCCCCTTCCCCACTCTTGAGGAGAGCTCTCTGAAGAGCACTTCCAGCAGGTGGCTTTCACTTCACAAATTGCTCAGGGTTTTCCTTTGGATGTGCTAAAAATGCATCAGGAATGGTCATCTTTTTATTCAAGTCCATAGAAAACTATTTTATTTTAACTGTGTGTGAAGACTGTTCAAAAAGTGATTAGTGCCCACAATTCATACTTTGTCATACTTTGATAAATAATTATTTGTGATTTTGTTTCTGTTTTACTTAAGGTGATCTTGGCTGGATAGCTGAACAAGTAAAGCTTTGTTTTATAAGCTGTAGGTCAGTGTAGTTGTTCTGCACTTCTTTGTGAAACTGCTGAGTAGCAGGAACTTAGGAGTAGTTTCCTCTCTGTCACATAGCTTCAAACCTTTTGAGTTAATTGAGGAAAGCAGTTATGCAAACTACTAAGTCCTGACTGGTTGCTTATTATTTTCTTATCTTTTTTAATTTCATTTTTAGCAACAGCCTGCTCAATTTACCAATCCAGAAACTCCTGGCTATGTTGGGTTTGCAAACCTTCCCAATCAGGTTCACCGAAAGTCTGTGAAAAAGGGGTTTGAATTTACTCTGATGGTGGTTGGTAAGGAAGCATTTTATAGTTTTTCTACAATTAGTACTTACTCCCAGGGAGTTTGAAGTTAAATCAAATGTTACTTGCACTATTCTAAGGCTTCAGCTTGCATCAGAAAATTTCCTTTACTCTTGCATTTAGGTTTCTTTTATATTTTGTTGATTCTTGCAGCAGTTGTTTACCACATTACAAACCATGCTTGAATACATTAATAAGTTTGTGGGTGAAGAAATTTTATTGTGCACTGCAGCAATCATTCCTTCCTTCCTTCTCCCCTGTCCTACAGGATTCCAACACTCCATTTAAAATGTAGTTTAAAACTGGTTTTGCATTTGAATAAAGTCTTAATTCACTTGTGTGTTTTGATTAAGAGACTAGTATTAAGGAGACCATTCTATTTAAAATGTTGTTTATGCTTCTTTAGTTCAAAACAATCTGAACTCTAGTCTTTTTAACCCTTCCAAATACTCTTGTAAAAGAGTGAGAAAGAATTGGACCAGTTGGTTTTAACATGAGCTGTTACTTTTTACTTTGATCATGATTTTATGTTAGCAGTTGTAATCTAAAGTGTTATTATATTTGACAATTCATTGGCAGTCTATGTTGGTATCTAGAACAGAAAGAAAAATCTGATGTCTGCAGAAATACCTTGATCCTGCAAGAAATGGGTTGCTATTCTTGCAAATTAAATAGACTCCCAAATCAAGCTTGGGTGTCTTCTCTGTCTCTCTGTTTGTGAGCCATAGCTTGTGAGTTTTGGTGTTTGAACTCTGTAATTCTTGCTTTTAAATAGGCTTTCACAAAAAGTACCCTAATAGAATTAGGCTCTTCATTACTTGGCACCACAAGAAATAAATCCCATTTGTGTGCTAGATTTGCCTAAGAGAGATCACAGTGGGAATGAGCAGGAGAGGTGAGATAGTGCATGATAGGAGGTGTTTAACTTCTTAATGGTTTTGGATTTCAGTAGTTACAGGGAGAGTCTCTCCTCAAGCCTTTCATTAGTTTTGCCAAATGACAGCCCTAGCACTAGTTTTGTCCTACTTCTGTATTTTGTTCTGCAGTGTTGTACAGAGTTTGCCTTTATCTTTGCCTTTCTAGAATTTTATTGTAGTTTTTTACTGTACATTTCATTGGATTTGGTTTGGATGATACCATAAAGGATATCTCATAAAATCTAAGAGTAAAACCAAACTATGAGTAGCTGCTTCAAATTATGCTATCTGTAACTCTTCAGAATTTACTGTTCAGTGATCTTAGAAGTGTGAACAGTTTTGAGAAAGGAAAGACCTGCTTTCTCTGCTGTAGCTAAACTAAACTTCCAGATCTCTTTGAATTCTAATTGCAAACAGTGCCACGTAAAACAGTTCTGGAAGAAAGCAATGTAAAATTATACAGACCAACAGTTGTTTCTAGTCTCTTGTAAAATAGAAATAGAGGGGAAATGATATGGTGTAATAGTAACAGAAAGATAATTAATCCACCCATGTTGGAGTGAAGTGGAACTTTACTGTTGTTGCCTGACAGTATTTTAAGGGATAAATGAAAACTAAAGGAAGAGGACTTGGAAAAAAAATAATTTCATTGAAAATTTGGAGAGGTATTTTAAGATACACAAGCAGAGGGAGGCAGCTGATGTAAGATAAAATAAACTGTGCTTTAAATTGTTGATTATTTCAACAGTTTGGAATGTGAATGCTTTCTCTTCAAATATGCATGGAGTTTAAGTATGCTCTCTTGTGGGCTGTGTCACAGTGCCTGTTTTGAGCTATCATTTTTCATTAAGTTGCCATCCTTCTTCATTTCTGAGCAGGACAATACTTTAAAAGCTGCCTGTGCTGGCAGAATCCTAATGAATGATTTTGCTTTTTTACACAGCTTTTGGTTATGTTTTTTTCCCCTGTTATTGTTTGCTGTGGTATCTAAAAGTATGAGCTGGAGTTTGTAAGAATTTGGCTGCTTGGCTGTGTTGCTCCCAAAGAAATCCCAGTCACTTGTGTTTATTTTTATGTTCATTCTCATTATTAAGCTATGACTTCATCTAAATAGTTATTTCACTTAAGAGTCACTAAACTACTGCAGCCAATATAATCATTGACAGTGACATGAAAACTGATTTGGTTTATGTGTAATATTTACCCATACTGAGACAGTGGAATGTCTGGATGAAATCCTTCTCTGGTTTTGCTGAAATGATCCCATGTGACTGTTGAGTTACTCTGGGTGCATGTCACCTTCACTGGTGCAGGCTGCACTGCCACAATCTGATCTTGAAAGCTGCATTCTGTAAGGCATTAAAAAGTGGCAGCTCCTACTAAAATCTTCACTTTAAAGCTACTTCTATCCTTTTTTTCTGTTGTTCAGATGTTTTTGTCAGATTCGTATTGCTGTGTTACTCAGACAACCTGTGGCCCATAATTCTCTGACATTTATTTTAAAATTTAATCCTATCACCATCTGAAATAAAACTAAAATCCTAGAAAAAGGTCTAGTCAGTGAACTTAAGTACTGAGCCATTTCAAGTTGCTGATCTTTTTTATGCTATAAAAATTTGCTCTGATTAAAATCTTGATCTTTAATGAGTCTAACCTTTCCTCATGGCCATCAGTATCTCTAGAACAAAAATACTTATGGTAGAATTTGGTAATCCCCAAGTTCATCAGTATAACAAAATTGTTCAGTGGCCATATTCCTCTTGCTTTGAGTTCTTGTTTGCCATATTGGCATAAAAACAGAAATAAATCCCACTTTATGTTGCCTGGCTGTACAGAAGTTCAGCAATGCATTTTTCAGTGTTTAAATTGATGATAAAGCCTTGACAGGATATAGCTTCTCACTGGGTATGATATTTCACATTCTGGAGTGATAACAGAAAAGCTTGTCTTAAAAAATCAGGAGACATGAAATGGAAAATCTTAAGTCTAAATGGGTCACAACTCCACTTGACTAGCAGCATTAATTGCAGATCATCAGTGAAAGATCTGGGAAAGTGCATTACAAAGGCAAGATGTAAAAATTGTTTTTCAACCTTTTTGTGTAAACTTGGCTAATCCAAAATTAGAATTTGTAAATTCTTACTTTGAAAGAAATATAAAAAAATCTGTAGTCAGATAATACTGTCAGATACTCTTGAAATTATTTATGTAAATATGTTGAAATTATCTTTATATTGAATCACAGGTGAATCTGGATTAGGAAAATCTACATTAATAAACAGCCTCTTCCTGACAGATCTCTACCCAGAAAGGATAATCCCAGGAGCTGCTGGTAAATACATCTTTGTTCAATGGTTTTTGGAGTTGAATGCTTTTATCTGTGAATTTTGGTAGCAGCCAGCAGTGATTTCTAGCTCCAGTAGTTTCTAATGTATTTCCTGACACCTGAGCTGTTTGATAAAACCATTTTCCTCTGCACCCAGGACGTCTATCGGGTCTTTGTTTTTTAGTCCTTGGGTGTATTCATATTAACACCTAGAAATGTGATCCCTTCTTTTGCTTAAAGACAGTCTTTGTGTCACAGTAAGATAAACAATCAACTAAAACAATCAGAGAATTTATTTAGTTTTTAATCTGTTGCAATTGTAAACATACGAATTGTTTATACCTGCTTTCACCTTAATTCATTTGCTATAGATTGATATTTAGTGAATGAGAACTTCCTATTCTTCATTTCCTTGTCCTATTTTTGTTATGTTATTCAAGGTATGCAATAATCCAGCAAAAGTGAATATTGTAATAAAATAAAATATGTAATCTTTCTCTTTTTGCTACCTGTTGAATGACTTGCTTTAATGGTTTTATCATGTTAGCTGATGATTACTTATAACTTCCAGCCTTAAGAAAAAAATCCATTACATATAATTTTGTATTGTTCTCCCACTGCCTATGTTTTGTCTCAATCCCTTTTGCCTTAATTTCCAAATTATTTTTAAGAAAAGTATGAAATCTATACAGTCCTCTAATAACACTGAAGGAATTTATGTATTGAGTCTTTTTGTTATCAGGCCTTAGAATGCAATCAATAGAATAATATTTATGCTGGTTTATCTTCCAATTAATCTTTGGAGTTTATCTCAGAATGCCATGGTCTTAGAGACTGGATTCTGCAAGATGGATTTGTTGTCTTTCAGATAAGATTGAGCGCACTGTGCAGATTGAAGCCTCAACAGTGGAAATTGAAGAGAGGGGCGTGAAGCTGCGGCTGACGGTGGTGGATACCCCGGGATATGGGGATGCCATCAACTGCCGAGACTGGTACGTGCACAGAGAGCATCTCTTGATCTGTCTATGGAGACTGACAGATTTCTTCTCTCTCCTGGAGGGTGGAAGTGTGCTGTGTGTCTGTGAAATGCTGAATTTGAGGTGGGATTTTTTGTTTTCTAATTTTGAGGAAGTTTAATTTCGGTTATGAATTAATTTCAATACATGTGAAGAGGCATCAATAACTTCGACACAACTTGAAATGAGTTTTGTGATGCTTTTTCTTTCTTTGTTAACTTCCATTTTGCTTGAAAGATCTTTAAGTGAACAGAGACCTTGAGTCTCAATAATACTCTAGGAAAGTAAATCACTTACTCTTCAGTGCAAGCAAAAATCCACCCCTTGATCTTGTCCACATTCGCTTGAGCATTCTCTGTGCCTAATTTTTAAGTGCTTTTCATCGTCTTAGATTCTGTTTGTTAGGTTGTTATGGTTTTTTTACAAATTTACATTATAGTAAATACTGAGAAGTAATCTTGACATCAATAGCAATCAGTTTTCAATGGTAATCTCTTTTCCCACATCTCTCAAACCCCTGAACCTCAAGGCAACCTCTGCCTTTCCCCATAATTTTGGAAATTAAATTTCCCAAAAAAGTGAAATTTACCTTCAAGACCACACGTCCTGTCCTGGTGAGCCCAAGGGCTACTGCATGAGCAATCTCCTGTTTCATTTGTTGAAAAGCTTGTTGTTGTTCAGGACTCCACTTAAAATCATTCTTCTTCTGGGTCACGTGATGGAGAGGCCTTACAATCTGACTGTACTCTGGAAGATGCACCTTTCAAAATCCCACAGCACCTGGGAAAGCCTGAGCTTCATTCCTGCTGGTCACTGGGGACAGAGCTGCTCTCTTGTTGACCACATCCATTGGAGTCTGATGATGCCTATTTTGCCATTTTATCCTAAAAAATGGATTTCCTGGGCAAGTCCGTTGACCTTACTTTGTTTTATGGCAAAACCAACCTTCAGGAAGATTTGGATTGTCTTCTCCCCTTGTTCAAAAACTTCCTGTGCCGTTTCCCCACATGATGATCTTTTTCATCAATTTACTGCAAGTGTTCTGAAGCCTTACACTTCAGAAGTAATATCATCCCTTCTGTTCTCTCTGAGAACATTTCCACTGGAAGCTGGCTGGAAGATGCACCTTTCAAAATCCCACAGCACCTGGGAAAGCCTGAGCTTCATTCCTGCTGGTCACTGGGGACAGAGCTGCTCTCTTGTTGACCACATCCATTGGAGTCTGATGATGCCTATTTTGCCATTTTATCCTAAAAAATGGATTTCCTGGGCAAGTCTCTTGACCTTACTTTGTTTTATGACAAAACCAACCTTCAGGAAGATTTGGATTGTCTTCTCCCCTTGCTCAAAAACTTCCTGTGCTGTGTTTCCCCACATGATGATGCCATCGATTTACTGCAAGTGTTCTGAAGCCTTACACTTCAGGAGTAACATCAGCCCTTCTGTTCTTTCTGAGGATATGCCCACTGGAAGCTGCAGCTGCATTTATGCTTGAAGAATTTCCTGTGGTGGTTGTACTTCCTCTCAACTCCTGCACCCCTGCTGCTGAGGCAGTGGTGGGTTTTCCATCCCACTTCCTCGTGTCTTTTCTGTGGTCATGCAGGTAAAACCACAGGTTACCACGTGGTGCACATCCTGTCTCTTGAGGATGGGGGTGTTTGCTGCCAGCAGCAGAGAGTGGCCCATACTGGTGGAGTATGGAACATTTCCTCTCTAGTTTGCTAGAATTTTTCAAATCTGTTCCTTATCTTGGACATCCTTGCTGAGGTGCAGGTTGGTAGGGAAGAAAAAAAATTATATTCATGTTGCCAGGGTTGGGTCACCTGAAGCACTGTTTGCTCTCCTTCTTTCACTGACAACAATGCCAATGAGTTGACATACAACAGTGGTGTGCTCTGTACAAACTTCTGCCACGTGGATTGTGTACAGTGCACCTCATCTGGATCTACAGGGGACTGATGGTTATTTGGACCCCTATAGATTGCCTCCAGCACAGCTAATTCTCTCCGGTACTGGATACCTTCTTCCAAGGCCTTCCACCTGCCTGGTCACACCATTAGATCATCCTTGAGAGAATACCTTTCCCTCATGCTTGACAGAAGTCACCACCAGAGCTGAGAGTTTCTGTCCTCTTCCCAATCCCCTTGTCAATGCCCACATCCCAGGACAGGGATCCCAGTTGCTTGGCTTCCCTGTGATCCGCTTCCATGTGGTGGGCCACCATGTCCTGGTACCAGAGCAGCCAGGGTCTCCCCCAAATGGCAGCTGAAATCTTTTCACGTATCTTGCATCTCATCAAGGATAGCAGTTGGGTGATTATCTCTGGCCCTGCCTCTTCCTCCTGCTGTGAGGGCCCTGCTTCCTCTTCATCCTTTCACATCCTTTCATCCTGCTTCACTAAGCAAACTGATTTGGTCTTGGATTTCTTGAGTGTAGGGGCAGCTGTTGGTGGCACAGGTTGTGGCAGTGGTTCAGCTGCAGTTGGAATGGCCATGGTGCCTGTTGCTCTGCTTTCCTCCTCTCCTGAGGGTGCTCTCTAGTGATGAGCAGTGTCCAGGAAATAAAAGCCAGGGCTCAGCACACTGCAATAAGTTGCTCCTCTCTGGAGCTGCCCCCTCCTGTAGAGCCGGGCCAGCACCAGGACACTAGTGGACAAAAAGTTGGATATGAGCAGGCAGTCCCTGAAAGCCATTAGTATCCCAGGCTGCAACAAAAACAGTGTGGCCAGCAGGGTGAGGGAGAGAGTTCTGCCCCATTCCTGTGCTCCTGTGAGACCTGCATGCAGCTCTGGGGCTCTCACACATGGCAGACATGGACCTGTTGGGGCAGGTGCAGAGGAGGACCACGAAAATGATCCAAGGGCTAGAACGGCAGTAAGGAGAGGCTGGGAGAGTTGGGATTCCATCTGAAAAAGAGAAGATCCAGGGAGACCTTCCTGAGACCTTGAAATATATCGAAGGGGCTCACAGGAAACATGGAAAGAGACTTAATACCAGGACCTGTAGTAGCAGAGCAAGGGACAATGGTTTGAAACTGAAAGTAGATTTAGGTTGGATGTAGCAGAGACTTTTTTCCAGTGATGGTGTTGAGGCCTCTGGCACAGTTGCCCAGAGAAGCTGTGGCTGCCTCATCCCTGAAAGTATTCAAGAGTACCCTGGAGTAATGGAAGGTGTCACTGCCCATGAGAGTAGCTTGGAAATAGGTGATCTTTAAAGGTCCCTTCCAATGCAAACCATTCATGATTTTAAATCAGTTTGCAACAAGAACCTTAAAATATCTTGAAAATGTGTGATTAATGTTAATCAAGATAGAAACACTAACCCAAGAGAAATTTGTTGTAGAACTGAGGTTGGGTTATGTATATTTTATCTTTATATACATATAGTAGCTTGTTATTCTAGAATTCCAATAAAATTTTACAATGTGCATTTCTATTTTCCCTGTTCTATAGAATCATTAAATGAATTTTTGACCAACAAAAGATTGGTGCACCAGCAGGGTGTCTTAGTGGTTTGATATTGCCTTTGAAAGAGTCCTAAAGTTGTGGACCATTTGGTGATTCCTCAAATCTGTGTTTGTTTTACAGTTTCAAGACCATAATCTCTTACATTGATGAGCAGTTTGAGCGATACCTGCATGATGAGAGTGGATTGAACAGAAGGCATATCATAGATAATCGAGTTCATTGCTGTTTCTATTTCATTTCACCATTTGGTCATGGGTAGGTGTTTCTCTGTCTTTTTTTTTTTTCATTATTTTATTTTAGAGAGTTTGTTTTGGAGGGTTTGTGCCTGGTGACTTAAATTTTCAGAATCAGGTTGCCTTTACTTAAGCAACTGTTGTAACTGCTGACATTAATTGGCTGTATCTCTCTGTGTAAAGAGAGATATTTATGTTGGAATGAAAATGAACTGGTAATTTAGAGTAAAAGTAAATAAAAATTTTCCATATTTTAATTTTAGCCTTAAGCCTCTGGATGTTGAGTTTATGAAGGCCATACACAACAAAGTAAATATTGTACCAGTGATTGCAAAAGCTGATACGCTTTCTCTGAAGGAGCGAGAGAGACTAAAGAAAAGGGTGAGTGTTTTTCTGGCTTGCAGAAATGTGTTGTGCTTTGGTTGTGGCTGAAGAGAGGGGCATTGTCATTAACCTTGCTCTGTCCTAGCTGAGGAAAATATAATCTCATGCACAGTGTAGCATCACTTAATATGTAGTTTGATATCCTATAAAATATTTTATGTATTTAACTGAGAAATTGTCCTTAGAATGTTGTTTGCAAAATGGCAGTCTAGCTACATTTACAATTAGATTGAGTGAATTTTGAAACTTTGGAAAAATATTTAAATACATTTGCTGATGGTAATTGCTCTGTTACCTGTTTAATCAGTCCCAAAGCAGAGATAGTATCTGCATATATAATATACATATGTATATTTGGGTTTTTTACCCTGTCAGAATTCTGGTGGTTCAAAAATGGGATTTTCAGAGATATTTCTGGTTGTGAGGTTGTTTTTCTTCCCCTATATCACTCCTTCTAAAGCATTCCAGTTCTGTCCTCCAGAGGCAAGACCTCTTAACACATCCAGTCATGCAGGACTTGGTGCTGTATTTGCTGGGAGGAGGTGGGATTCAACAAACCATCATGAGCTAATAACAGCTATGAAGTTTAGAAAGAAGTATTAGAATTAACTTGTCAAAGGCATGCTCCAGTCTTAGCTCTTGCATAGAAAACTTTATGATTTTTGTCAGTTATTCTGAAAATCCTTATAGCTATCTTACCCAATCTGGAATAAAAATAGAGACTTTATATATACTATACTAGGTATGTTTAGAGTGCTAGAATTCTGCAGAAATAAAGATTATTCTTTTATAAAGAGCAAAATTTGAGGTCTGTGGTAGATGGGTTCCTGGTGCAGATACCATTACTGGCAATCATGAAGAAAAAAGTATTTGTAGTGTCTATATCTCCATTTTTCAAACACTCCCACCCCTACCCGCCCCAAGCAGTAATTCAGAGGTAAGAGCAGGGAGGTTAAGCTGTAGAAAGCAAGTATGACTTCTGAGTCAACACTTTAATTGTTAGAAAAAAAAATTGCAAAGGTTTAACAAAGCACAGTTTCCACAAAGGATGGTGGTTTTGTGAACACTCTTGTTTGTATGAAAGTCCATGGCAAGTAGTAATGAGGAAATACAGTATTTAAAACTAAATCCTTGTTGAGCAATTTGGATCAATAAGATAAATCCAGATTTCTTAAGAGACTGTGTATTAAGTAATTTTATGTTAAGATTTAAAAGTACTGATTCTCCATGTACATTATATAAATTTCTTTTATTGCTTATCTCAGATTCTGGATGAAATAGAAGAGCATGGCATCAAGATTTATCACCTGCCTGATGCTGAATCAGATGAGGATGAAGATTTTAAAGAGCAGACCAGACTCCTGAAGGTGTGGCTGGTTTAATAGGTTATATACATAGATAATATATTGTATTTTTTCAAACTGCTCGGAACAAGCAGTGTAACCTGCAGTGTAACCTGGAGTGAGTCACTGTGTCTCTGCTCAGGTTTCCCTAGCTTGGAACATGGTGGCAGCAGTTACTTTTATTTATTTTACACCTTTAGTTTAAAGTAATTATAAACTTCTTACCATAATATGCAGTGCTGAGTAGAACAAGGGTTGTTCTTTGAGTTGTTTGTCCTGGTCCATTATAAGTAACTTTTGCACTTTTGACTTTCAGGCCAGCATTCCATTTTGTGTAGTGGGGTCCAATCAACTCATTGAAGCAAAAGGTAAAAAAGTCAGAGGTCGGCTCTACCCTTGGGGTGTAGTTGAAGTGGAGAATCCAGAGCATAATGACTTCCTGAAGCTGAGGACCATGTTAATGTAAGTTAGAAAATTCCAATTCAATGATAGTTTAGAAAACAATCACCAAGATAATCAAGCACTGCATTGAGGGTTTGCAGCAGTGGTGTAATCCCTGGACACATTCAGAATTTGTGTGGAGAAGGCCATGGGCAGCCTTGACCTAGCTGAGGTAGGCCTAGTCAGGGCTTGGACTACACAGGACCCACGGGTTCTCTGAGATCTTAAGTGATCTCTGAGTGATTCTGTGAAAATAATTATTTGTCTGATTCATTTGTTCAATGTAGTGTATTGCTGCTCAGATGCCCTGGAACATAAAACAGGATCTGCTTATTTCAATGTGCCTATAAGTAGATATACCTGCGAGGGAGCAGACTTGAAAAGCCCCCTGGTTGTTTTTTTTCCTGGTCTTTGCTACTCTGTTTCACCTGCTCAGAGACCTCGCCCAGGAGTACAGCTTCTGTCAGGGCAGTCTCAGGGCTGAGGTGGCCTCTCTGTGTCCTTTATTGCACCAATTTAACTGAAATTAGTTTTAAATTAGTATGCTAAGTGGGTGTGCACGCTGAGCACATTGATCCAAGACAGTGCTGAATGCGAGAGCTGCTTAAGCAAACTGATGTGACACAAGGATGTTTTATCTTTTAATTACTTTGCTTCCTCCAGCACCCATATGCAAGACCTTCAGGAGGTGACCCAGGATCTTCACTATGAGAACTTCCGCTCCGAGAGGCTCAAACGAGGCAACAGGTTGTCATCTCATGGTTACATGCTGCTTTCTCCTCTTCTGAATTTGCATTTTGCTCTCTCTGTGTCTCACCTACCATTGCATTGCTTAGGATTTGTTAGACCAAGGGCAGCTCTGTAGCTTCAGTCAGCATCAAGTTCTGTTGACCAGCTTACAAAGAGTGTAACAAAAAATATTTGGTAAATCTGAAGTGATGGTGGTGGAATTAGGGAATTGTGGGAATAGATCTGTGCTTTGGTCTGAGGCTTAAACACCGTTGGGTTGGAACGTTGAAGGTACTAAGTAGGACAGATGTCTATGATAAATGTTGTCTTAATAAAACCTGCAAATTAGATCAGAGCTGATATCTTAAAAAGAGTATGAGTTTTTTTCAGAATTAACAACCAGAATATTTGAATGGGGCCTTTAAAAAGAGGTGATCAAATTTTTTTGCAATGCTTTATTAAACATGACATACATAAACAGTAGCAGTCACAGGGTAATGACTGTTAGCCCAGTTTTGAGCTGGGTTGGATAGGGCACAGCTTTCCTGGAAAGAGAACTGGGCAATCCACCCCATTTTTAAATACAATAGCAGGGTCTGTAAAGATGAGCTGGGGAGTTCTTGTGGGAAAAAGCATTTCCTGGTTTCGATGTTTCAGCTGCGTCCCTTCTTACAGCCACTAGAGGGTTCCGAATTGCGCATTTTGGGGGCTTTGGGGCCTTTCGCAAAAGTTTCCCCATCAAGCTGTTAACAGACATTTTGTAACATGCCTGGTCAGTTTTTAGCAAAAGGAGTTTTCCTTTTAGAGTTTTCTGCGTGTAGCATTGGCCTACAGGCAAGATAAAATGCTCTTGTCTCCTGATTTTAAATCCTGCTTTCTAAAATTCAAGGTAAAAGTCCCCAAACTTCCCAAGTTCTGGCACCTCTTATCCAATGGGTGTGTATTAAGACTTTAGAGGTAATGTGGCCTAAGATCATCCCATTTTTAGAGGATTTCAAGTTGCTGTTAAGTTTGGTATGTGAAACTAGAACATGTTTTTGTACATTTTCTAGTTAAGTGGCCCATATACCATGGCCCTTGCTTCACATTTCTGAAATGGTACTAGAACATAGTTAGGTTTACTATAAGTGGGGGTAAATTTCATGTGAATTTATTTCAAGCTTGCACTTCTGCTACCAGGAGTGCTTGACAATAGGTGTTTGTTGGCTGTACTCACTAATGATCCCAGAGGTTTTGGGGCACAGCATATTTTTTTACAATGTATTTATTTACAATAATTTAATTATTTTTATTTACACAGGATTTTTTACAAGGTATTTCTCTGTTAGCTTTTTAACAAACACCAGTTTGTTTGCTTTGCATGTTTGATGGCACTTGCTTGATTAGCTCCATTAATAGATCTTCCCTGTTGTGGCATGGAGAAGGAGAAAGCTATTAGCAAAGTGGTAGGAAATCCTGAATAAAGCCAGCTGGGAGGCAGTCACTTCTCCCAAGTAACAAGTAATGCAATAACAGGACATGGCCCCAGGTTGCACCAGGGAGGTTTAGATTGATAAAGGGAGAAATTTCTTCACAGAAAAGGTGTTTGGCCACTGCCCAAGGCAGTGGTGGAGCTGCCATCCCTGGAGGTGTTCAAACTGTTTGTGGATGTGGCACTGGGGGATGTGGTGCAGTGGTGAACACAATGGTGGGTTAATGCTTGGACTCAGCAATCTTAGAAGGCTTTTCCAACCTTAATGATTTTATGTTTCTGACAATATTAATATTATTTTAGGAAAATAGAAGATGAAGAAGTGAATAAAGACCAGATTCTGCTTGAGAAGGAAGCAGAAGTAAGATGACAGAACTTTATATTCTTGTAATGGGGGAGTTTTTGTTCTTCTGTTGCTACTTTAGAGCAAATATTTATATGATCTTGGTAATTCATAAAGGAAAACCAGTTATATGCCAATATAAAGTTATTTAAGGTTCACTAAGAGAACAGAATGAGAAGAGGTGAGAAGAGACTCAGGATAGGGATTTTTTGGAGCAAGTGGAATGTGGTAAAACATGATTCCACTGTAGTGATCAGCAATGGATGTAACACACACTGTGTGGGCAAGGAGAGCCATCCTCATGGGAGTAATGGTTCTGCAGTTAGCAGCTGCAGATTGGGACACAGTCAGTTCAGCTCTGCAGCAAAAGAGAATGATGGCAAAAATGGTCAGAAATAAAAAATTAAACTGAAATTCTCATTCTGCCACTGTGACAAATCCATAATGCATAGATCTAGTGCTGCTTTTCCTGTTCCTCTAACCTATAAAGGTTATAGATAGGCAAGACTAGAAAAAGTGCAATGAAAAGTAAAATGTGGGCAGAAAGGCTGAAGTGGAGACCTGTAGCAGGTCCTGTGCTAGGGTAGATGAGATTAACAGCCTTGTTGAGAAGTAGATGACAGAAGGGAAAGGGACTAATGTGATCAGAGATAGCAGGACAAATGGGAATCTACTACACAAGCAAGAAGTCATGGTTATTTGGATTAATAGATGGTTGATTGCAATTTAAAAAGCTACTTCTAACATAGTCTGTTACTCTAAAATGCAATACTCTAAAACTGAGCTTCAGCCAAGTTTATTCATGCTTGTGTCTCACTGGATGGTTTGCCTGTAATACTTGCTTCCACCTAGTCATCCCTTGCAAGGGAGTTGGGGAATAATCCTGACAAATTTTTTGGAGGGGATGACAGATACAGGAGTAGTTTGGAGGGACATAACCGTGCTGCTTTTTTTTCCTGATAAACTTTAGGAAGTGTAAATGCTTGTTCAGTACTTCAGAACCATAATTTTTGTGCATGTAACTTCAGAGACTTCCACTTTGGGATGCTTAAAAATCCCATCCCACACTACAATAATAAATCTGTTTATTTCAGTCAGTAAATGCCAGCCTCTTCAGTGATGAAGAGCAATAAAATAAGGTGCCATAACCTGAGTACATTACCTGTCAGATAAAGAAAATGCAGATAGGTGAACCCTCTTTAATAAAATAAGTATTAGAGTGGTGACAGTGAAGAGTTATATTCTGAGGTGAGATTGGGCTACAAAATTCTTCTGTGCTGCTTTTCCAGCTCCGTCGCATGCAGGAGATGATTGCAAGAATGCAGGCACAGATGCAGATGCAGATGCAAAGTGGAGAAGGTGACAGCAGTGCAGTTCATGGGCACCATGTGTAAAGTCTTGGGTAAGATGCTGAAATAGCCACTTAAAGGGCTTCTCCTTTAGCTGCTCTCTAATGTGCTTGGTATTAAGAAGTTTTGGAAAAATGCTAATGAGATGGGTTTCCATAGGTTTCAGTCTGAATTTTAATTTAGAAGGATTAACTGCTGTTTGCAAAGTTAGATGGCTTGGAGTCAAACTAAACAGTGTGGTGGTGTGTGTCTATACATATGAAAATTTCCCAGAAAGTCAATACAATATATCCTGGTAAGAATTATGGAAGAGGTCTTTGAAATAGTTTAACTGGGTTTCTTAATCTCATTATGAAGTAATTGTTTACTTGTGACTTATAAAATGTGTGCAGTTCTTTCAGGTTTCTTAATGTGAGAATACTGCTGATCTGAAATGGTATTTTCCTGTCTTGTTTTTAGATGATTTTATCCCCTGACTCACAGGAGACCTTTTGGAGCTGGATTGCAGTGGTGGAGGACAAAAGGATGCCTCTTGCTTCCATGTGATCTGGAGCTTGCTGTGGAGTTTAAAGTGGGACTGTTTTGTGGTAACATCTTGTGAGATGTATTTCATAACATGTAGTCATTTGGTATTTTTATATATTATACACATTTGACTTTCATTTTCTTTAGTTCTTCTTTTCTTGAGGTTATTTTAAATTTCCTATTAGGGATACAAAATAGTCATTGAACGTTTTCTAGCCTGATAAGCAGTAGATAATAATACTTTTTTAATGTACCTTATTAGCTCCTTGCTTTTAACTTTGTATTCCATTTAGAAATAAACAGCTGTCAGTGATACCTTGTTCAGTGCCAGGTAAGAGTCACCTCACTAAGGCTGCACCCCTGCAAGGTTAATTTTATAAATATTGCAGTGTTTACATGTGTGTGTGAGACCAGCAGCCCTTTGTCTCTGCTCACAGCAGAGGATTTCCTTGGCCTCTGCAAAATATCAAATGAAAATTCAAGCATGCCTTGTGTCTTAGCAAAAGAAAGAAGATTAAATGCCTCTGGGAGAGGCACACTGTATGTTACATGACAGGCATTATTTCTTCTAGATTTAACCTTGAGGGTTATTGTTTTCCTAAAATCTCTTACTCTATTGCAGCTAATTTTGAATAGTTTCTTGTAGGCCATCACAAATCACTCCTGCTATTTTCTAGCATTATTGTAGCCAAGTAAACTTGAATAAGGCTGATTTTATTGTTGAATGAGGTAAACTCCAAAGAGTAGTTTTTCTATGCATGGGTGTTTCCTATATCCAAAGGAGAAGAAGATTCCTAATAAGTATTCATACTATAATAAGTACTAATACTAATAAGTATTTTCATACTATTTTTAGGGCATTGAAAACTGTTACATGTAGTAAAAATATATATTAGCACACTTCTCTTTTTAAAAGTGACCTGTTCCTGACAGGATCAATGCAAACTGTATTTTAAGTTCTTGCTCCAGGATGGAGTCAGCAGTATTACTTCAGGAGAGACTCTGTTTTCTTTTATCAGGCCAGGGTCACTTTCTCAATCCTGGTAGCAAAGGAGACTTTTTAGCTTGGCTGGGCTTGTGCTGCAGATCATGCCTCGTGTTGTATTTGCAGCAAATAATCAACACAACTGCCCAGGTGGTGGCTGACAGGGCAAGCAGTGACACATCCTGGGTTGTTTGCTGCTCCTGATAAAGCCAACAATCAGATATCTTCATCTGATCTATCCCAAAACATCCTTATCTGAGCAGCTAATAAACAAATAGATAGAATTGCAACTTCTTTTGGCTCTTTGAGCTCAGGTGCAGCTGTGACTTTTATAATTTTGTTAATGTTCCTGTGAAAAAAATAATAGAATTTCTACAGCTAATGTATAATTCCAGTGGTGCTTCAGTGGCTAGATTAAATATAAAGCTATTAATCAACTGAATTTTCTACCTGCCTGAAACTACTGTTCTATGTTTGAATCTTTCTAAAAATGTGAAGTAAAACCCTGCATTGCAGCCTTTGCTGGGGAACTGTAGCTCTCTCTTCCAAAGTAATTGCTATCAAAGTTTGACATGACTCATTTGACCTTCTCTAACCTTGACAAAAGTGAAAATGAGAACCTTTTTGTATGCACGGAAGAGTTAAATCCCATTTTGTCAAATCTCTACATATAAAACTTGGATGGAAAAATATGTGCTTCTAAATTCTTGAATTGCTTTTTCAAAAGAAGTTGTAGGACCAAAGTAATGTAGCAGCACTGTCAGAGAGCACTCCACAACACCTTATTTATTTCTATTACCATGAGCCTGTACTTGAAGAAAAACTGTGAAATGTAAAATGTCTGCACAGGGGCCTGGTTGTACTTGTCACTCTCACTGTGTATATTGGGTTGATAGGTTTTTTTCCTCTATTTTTAACATGGGAACAAGAGCACATTGTCCATTTGTTTAGTGCTGTTTGGTCACCATCTGTGAAATTATTTCTTTGGAATATTTACATATCTATTAAAATATTTGATCTGGATAAAGCATTTCATATAATTATTAAGCAAAAAAAAAAAGTAATTGATGTAAAAATTCAACAGGAGAAATATTTTTTGTATGTTTTTTGGCATTTAATGGGAAAAAACCAAGTTTGTGGTACTAGCCATTTTAGCTGAAATACTCAAGACAGGTAATTAATTACTGTTTCTTCCCAAGCCTTTGGGACAATTGTTCATAGTGTGCCTCATGTCTCTGAAGGTCTAGTTCTCCTTCACTTTTCTTGGGATGGTCTTGAAATGGATGGTTTTGTGCTAAGGCATGAAAAGCAATACTACTTTTCTCAGAAAAACTTCTGGCAAAAGAAAGAAATGAGTAGCAGAAAGGCTTGGGGACAAAAGGCAGATTCTGTTTGGTGGCTTGCTGAACTGGCCACAGTTCTTTTTATTTTACTGTGTTCTGATGGTTTTTACTTTAGGAGTAAAAATACTTTTGAATTTGCAGAGCTTTATAGTTGGTAGCAAAAATTACTTGTTCTTGGTACAAAAACCTGTTATAACCTATGTACTACAATTAGCTAAAACTGTAATAAAAATGCTAAAAAGCTGTTTTGTGTGTATTGTGATTCTTTATTATACTCAATATTAATTTGTGGTGATATGTTTGAAATAGTGCCCTGTTCCAGCCAGGACAGAGTTAATTTTTGGGACAGCCAGGAAGGGCAGTGTTGGAGTGGCAGTGGGGTTGGGCTCCATAGTAAGCATTTTTCCATGTGAAGCACTCTCTCTTTTGTATCCTTTTTGTTATTTGATGTGGTTGCTATTACTGTTCCTTTTCTTATCTCATTGCTGTTTCCAGTAAGTTGTTCTTACAACATTTTGTGTTTCCAGTTCTCCTCTCCATCCCAATGCAGAAAAGAGGGAGTGAGTGATTGGCAGCCTGGTTTGGAGTTTCAGTGGGAGCACTAAATTGGGGAATACAATTCTTAAACCAGGACAGCCTTAATTCAGCCCCAGTGTGGGGCACAAAGCAGTGAGATAACAACAGATCTGCCCAGAGCAGGTTGGAAACAGGTTTGATCCGAGCATTTTCTGTCTGTGGTCACAATGTTGCTTGGTCTGTTCATGTGGGTGTGGTGCCTAACTCTGTATGTGTTGCCATAGATGTTCCTCATGGGGGGTTTTATCAGGGCAGGGAGAGCAATCAGGATTGATTTGTTGCTGTACTGTGGGATGCCACTTTATGACATGATAACATTGAGGACAATGAGGGTCACTTGATGAGTGACTTGATCAGTGCTGCTATGCGGGGAGAACAGGGAAGGATGATTTTTCCCAGATTTTCACCCCTTTTTCCTCCCTCCAGGCTGTTACAACATCTTTTGAGAGTTTTGAATTCCCTTTGTATGTTAAGGAAAGCATGTTTTTGTTGCTGAGTCTGCCAGGTCTACTCAGTGGGCTCCATACCATGTTGAGAGTCAGGACAGAGATTTCTAGGGAGGATTCAGAGATCTGCCCCCAAGGATGACTAAACATGCATAGCATGGGAGAAAATGGGCCAGGTCTTGGGAAAATTCTCTGCTATTGTGGTTTGGAAGTTCACCCCTAAAGAAGTACAGGACCCTTTTAAAGTGACAGAATATTTGCAAGGAGGAACTCCAGAGAGGAGAAACTTCTTGCAGTGTGCTGAGCCCTGGCCTTTATTTCCTGGACCCTGCTCATCACTAGAGAGCACCCTCTGGTGAGAGGGAGGAAAGCAGAGCAGCAGGCACCATGGCTGTCTTTAGACTGTCTCCCTTTTTTTGCTCCTTCCATTTGGGATCCTGCAAGCTCCCAGCATTTTTCTTGTATTTCATCCATACTTTTGGGGTAGCATTTTGTAGGTTCCACTTGTCCTGGTTAGAGTGATGGTGGCTTGTATGCCCAAATGTTCCCTTTTCTGAGGAGAGTAATTCAAGTTCACTCCCTGGCCATCCCTGGCCTCTTCAGCAAAGAATGAGGAAAAAGATCATTCAGAGCCTTTTCAGGCGGTTTTGAATATTATGATGGCTAGGCTGGAGATTAAATTGACACTGCTTGCTCCCAGGCTTCCCATTTGTGTGGCACCTGTGGATGAATTAGTCACACCTCTGTCTTCATACACACTCTAATGACCTCAGAGTAAGCTGCTGAGGAGAAAGCTCTCCTGTGATGTGAGTGGAAGGGAATGTTTGGCATTCATTAACAAATGCTACCAATCCCAACTATATTCAGAAGGCATTTAGTAGGAAATCCTCTCAGGACTGAAAGAAATTAAGCTCAGATTCATGGGTTGTAACTTGGATGTCGTTTGAGTCCTTTGCTGTTTTTGTCTCAGTAGACAGCATGAGTGCAGAGAAGTGCCTTTTTCAGGCAACTCTCCTGCTCCACACTGCCAAATATTGCCTGGATCTTTCTGAGTATTTGGACAGGGCTGAGCACACCTCATGTGTCTGTTTTGTTGGCTTCTCTGTGGTGCTCTTGCTGGTTTATCTGGCTTCCGGGCCTTGGAGGAGGATTTCTATCAGCATTTTGCTAGCTTGTTACACAGACTTAGTGGTTACAAAAAGAAAAAGAAAGTGAACAAAATATCTATAAACCTTTGTTTCCTGACATCTGAGTAAAGAAAAATGAGAAATGTAACTTTTCCTGCCTTTCTCTGGACACTTTGTAGTAGATCCTGAAATGTTACATGCTTTAGGGAAGTGTCTGAACTAGAGGGCAAATGAGGTGGTAGTTACTCGGTATGTGCAAGAATATAATCCATAAAGGCTTTGGGAAGAGTTGAAGCTATTGCTTGGAAGGACATTGTACTGAAATTCAGTGCAAAGGACTCCATGGAATTATGTGCTCTTCCCTATTTGTTGTTTTCTCTCAATGCTGTGTATGGAATAGAGCTGAAAGAGCTTAACACAGATCTCCTGCTGTCAGAGAAAGCCAGAAAGAAATGCTTAAAGGATTCCTGCAGTGCAAGAAAGCTGTGATTAAAACACTTCATAACTCAGCTTGCCATAGAGATTTTCCCACAGCCCACGATTCCCAAGGGCAGTTTCTCAGGAGAGATAACAGTTTGATCAGCAGCTTGTTGTTCTGAAGCCCTGTTCCTGCCATGTCTGCCACCTCTTCCCAGAGATGCTGAACGAGGCTCTGGGCTGCTGTTCCTTTGGACAGCCCCAAAGGCATGTGGCTGGCAGTGCAGGTCAGTTTACCAGTGAAGCAGGGGTTGTGTCTGTGCTGGAGCAACCCTTGGTGTGTAGTTTCATAAAACAATTCATAATCCAAAAAATGGGAGGTGCTGTCACCTGCTCGTGTGTCCTTTTATATGAAGACATGAAGGATGCTGGCACCAGGCTGTTGTCACAGTGCCCAGGTGAGCCCATGTGCAGTGAAGTTACATTTGATGGCATTACAGCTCAAGCCCAGAAAGTGGGAATGGATTATGAGGAGGAAGAGCTTTGTCTGAGGAGTGCTGTGATGGCCAGACACCCTGCCAGTGCAGCCCAGACATGATGGGATCTCCTGGGCCTGGCTCACAGCCACAGCAGGGTGTGCCCAAGTTTCAGGTGCCTTGTGGAGTTTCTGCAGCATTTAGCAAGGCAAGATCTGATGTAGCTGTGTGTTTGCAAGTTTAGTTTCGGTGCTTGAAATGCAGAAGGCAAATGAATTTCACTCCCACCCACAGGAATGAGAGCCTGTCAGTCCAGCAAAGCAGAGGAGGTGTCCAGCTACCTCAGAGAGAGAACAACACACTTTTGGGGAGCTACCCTGGCGAGAGCAGACCCAGCCCTGCAGCCATCCTGCCAGGTTTTATG